TAAAACATCTATGGCACGTTTTTGAAAATTTGGCCTAACATTAAAAAATAAGGTCAAGTAATGCCCAAAAGGACCACTTAAGAGCCCCTACAATATTTTTGGGCCAAACATGTTTTCTGGGCCCATCCTAGGGCAGCGCAGAATATTTTTTAGGGCCCTAAAACCAAAATTTGGGCCGACATTCTGAAAATCTATGCCCCGTTCTTTGAAAATTTGGCCTAAAATTGAAAACATAAGGCCCAAAAAGGTCAAGTAATGCCCAAAAAGGCCCACTAAAGAGGCCCTACAATATTTTTGGCCAACATTTTTTTCTGGGCCCTTCCTATGGCCTCGCAGAAAACCTTTTAGGGCCCTAGAACCAAAATTTGGAAAAGGAACGGGTATCGATATGGCGAACTTTTTGAACACACCTTTCTTTTAAACCAGTCATCAAAAAATTCTGAAAATTGTACACATTGTCAATTTAATAGTCATCTTTTGAATGGTAACAATATAATTGGAAATATATATATAAACTTTCGTCTATATTGTTTTAGAAAACACATCAAACACTTGTTTTGTTCTAATGGTATCATGTTTCCAGAGTGAAATGAAACATCTTTCCGAACCTCATTGGAACAAAACGACATAAACACAACATGTTTAGGTCTCTCAATATTGTAATTGTACAAAGGAAATTTTTGTTCATTTTAAAAAAGTATCTTGTTAATGAAATAAAAGGTTTATCTTGATTTTCATCTATTTTGGGGGATTTTGTTTAAATTTTTTGAATACTTTTTTAAAATGAACCAAAAATTCCTTTGTATAACTATAATATTGAGAGGTCTAAAAACATGTTGTATATGCTATTTTGTTTCAACAAGGTTCGGAAAGACATTTTATTTCATTCTCAAGAATTGGTAGAAAGGAGCAAAAACAATTGCACTAGAAAAACGAAAAATGTTAACAAAAACAATTATATAAAATATTTCTAAATAATTTTCGCATTAGATTGTTGTCAATCAGTCAACATTACATAAAATACCGTGTTTTTTTACTGAATGTTTTCAATGATTGGTTTAAGAGAAAAACATTGTTGAATTCAGTTCTCCATATCGATACCACTCTTTTATAGCCCGTATTTTGAAAATTTAGCCTAAAATTGAAAAAAAATAAGGCCCAAAAAGTCAATAAAAAGGTCAAGTAAAGGCCAACTAAAGAGGCCCTACAATATTTTTGGCCCAACATTTTTTCGAGGCCCATCCTAGGGCCGCGCGTAAATTTTTTAGGGCCTTAAAACCTAAATTCGGGCAAAAATTCTGAAAATTTATCCACCTTTTAAAAAAAATTGGCCTAAAATTGAAAAAAATAAAGCCCAAAAAGGTTAATTAATGCCCAAGGAGGTCCACTAAAGAGGCCCTACAATATTTTTGAGCCAACATTTTTTCTGGGCCCATCCTATGACCGCGCGGGAAACCTTTTAGGGCCCTAGAACCAAAATTTGGGCCTAAATTTTGAAGATTTATGGCCCGTTTATTGAAAATTTTGCCTAAAATTGAAAAAGTAAGGCCCAAAAAGGTCAAGTAAAAAGATACAAGAGCCTCCAACATAAACCATTTATACCACAATTATATAACTTATGGAACAGGCCTCGTATCCATGTACTGTCAAAAGCCTTTTTAATGTCCATTAATGCAATAATTGTGTGCCATTTTCTTGGTGAGATATGGCTTCTTGCCCTATTAGAGATGTTTGCAAGGAAGAACAACCTTTAATAGACGCACCTTGTAATTGCGGTATGCGATCTTGCAGTACACCAATTTTCCAAAGAACAATATTAACAAAAATCTTACGAAAAATTGTCATAAGGGTTATCCCACGATGGTGATCCTTTTTAAGACAATCTTTGTTACCAGACTTGAGCAATAGAAGTAAGATCCCTAAGCAGAAGTTCTCAGGTATAAATACATTTGCGATCATTGCATAAATAAAATGGTGAGCAAATATTAAATTAAATATTAAATTTCGATTATCCCTTGCTTCTTCATCTCTTTTACAATTATGTGTAGAGTTTGGGTATTTACTGATTCGTTTCTATCTACACTTAGGTATTTGTTACGTTATCGCTATACCATCACTATCACTTTGCTACGTCGAAGTAGAATAAATCTTCCAAATATACTATCTGACTAATGTTCTATATAAATAAAAGCCCAAGTCGTATATATTTTTAAAATGGAGTACATGTAAATGATTATAACTTACCTTTAATTCTACTTTAAAGTTGCTCATAGGAAATACATGGCGTCTGCTGAAAATCTTTGTGTTCTGGTCTTGAATTGTGATATCGGTTCTTGAATGGTGGGGGAAAGGGGGTATTAGACATTGTTTCTTTTCACGTTAGATCATGGTTTTGGGATATATGGGGCTTGTTTTTCTTGACTGGTATGCACTTAGAGTTTGCTTTTTCTTGCTAAGTTCCATTACAACTTTTGGTCCTTTCCCTTGGCACTAGTGCTTAGATATTTACAATATACAAAGTTACTCACTCACCGATCAACGTGTATGCTTAATTTATAGCCAGTTAATTGAATCATCGGTATACTAATTAAAGTCACATTACTTGTGCTAGAAAAAATACACCAAAGGAATTATATGAAGGATTTAATAAAACCCCATAGAGATACATGTGCCATGAGTTTTGTGCTACTGGGCATTATGTTTGAGATACGTTTAACGCCAGTGTTTGTAATCGTGTTAAAAATAATTCGTTTGGCACTGTATATTGAAACATTTTATGCTTAAAAATATAACTTTTACTTGAAAAATGGCGGGAAATTTGAATATTTGAGATAAAAAGATTTTTTTACATATACGAGGGTTGTCCCAGAAGTAATGCACTATATACTCTAACTTTCTTAAATATTCTTCAATTCGGCAGAAATTTTGGGGATATAACAATTGAAGTCTTATCTAATATATCCTGTAGTTTCAGCATCAAAAATTAATATTAAGTCTTACTATGATTGCTATAACAACATGGGGGTAGGGGTGGGCGGGGCAGGCACCAATTTTTCTGATTATGAAAAGATCTAAAGTGTTTTTTATTAATATTTCTTTCCTTTAAATGATCAAAAAGTTTGAGAAATTGTTTAATTTATTCAGCATGATGTTAACCAAGTACAAATAATGACATTTAGCACTGTGATGTCATAATACCACATTTCAATAGTCACGAATTCAAATACAGTCACAGTCAAGAAATTGCAAAAATGGCTGCAATTTTCACCTGATAACAGAAGGCCTTGGGTTTGGTGGCCTAATTTCATACTTCACTTGGACTGACAGCCACGCAAAATTTATGCTACCATGAAGAAAGTATATAAGGAGTATATACCAGATAGAACTTATGAGGTTAGCAGAAAAGATTTAAAAGAGATGATTTCACCCTGGATGACAACTCCAAACATGGGAGGCAAAAACTCCACAAGTCACAGTGGAAGAAATTGCCAAGAGTGTTTGGCCTGACAGGCATCAAAAGTTCATAACATGCAAAGGGCAATATTTTGAGAAAATGTGAAATGGGACACTGTGCAATGTACATCCATTAAATCTAGGATGTGCTCATAGTAATTTAGTATCTTAAAATGTATTTTTGAGCATACTTCTTATAGCTACACAAAATGGTATTTGTTGATTAATTATTTCATATTTTCAATTTTTTATTACTTTTGACGTGACTGTATAACCTGCCCCACCCTACCCAAACTCACCAACTTGATTTTATTATAACATCAATATCAGTCAACATGAAAATTTTTAGAATAGTCAAAATGTCTCCAAGGAACATTTACTGAAAATTTCATGGAAAAATATAAATCATTGATAAAGTTAGAGCATATAGTGCATTACTTCTGGAGACAACCCTCGTATATGTTTTTCCCAAAAATCTCTTAAATAACTTCTAAGGTCATTGAAAATAGTAAATGAACGATAAAAACATATTTTCAAACTTTGCATGTGGTCTTTAAAAATATGATCAGCAGGTCATGATAACCCAGGAAACTTCTTTCTAAATGTTGAATTTTTCATAATGTCGTTGATTAATTGTCTACTGTCAAGTGAAACAATCTATCAGCTCGAAACACTGAATGGTAGTTAGATAAGCTCACAAAAATTGTCAAAAGGAGTTGTCAAAAGTAATATAAAGCATCCTGTCTACAAGGGTTAAGATTGAACATATCGAGATACATTTATTAATAATTTATATACCATGTATATATCTGGTAAGATAGAAAACAAAGTACAAAAATTGTTAATGAAAAACTGATGAAAAGCTGATGAATGAGATATCATCTTATCCAGCCTACATAATAGGTAAAAAGAAGATGAGCAGTCATCCTCTTTTGTAGTCAATTAAGGGCGGTTAAATATGGTTTAAAAGGAGTCTGACCAATGAGATCCTAGAGTAAAACAAACAAATCATCTGATTGTGCGCTGGATTTAACGTGCACCAATCAGATGGTTTGTTTGTTTTTCAGATAGAAAAGTTCTCCACTGATACCAGTGTGATTGAAAATCAAACTGGGAAGCGAGTATGAAAAAAGACGGTAGGGAAAACATTGGCATGCATTTTAAAAGATTTTAAACTTCCAATTAATCACTCTCTCCATACATTCTTATTTCTTTATGTACATGTCACCATGATCAGAGTTTAAAAAGTTGTTAAATGAAAAGCTCGGATAAGCAAACTATGAATGAACAAACAAACTATTTGTTTGAGACTAAAAAAATTGTATGATTTAAAATTGTACAAAAACATACGTGATCTAGCAGCTGTAATCACTAGCAGAAGGTCAGCCAATATAACTTTCAAAGAAAAAACGTGAGTATCATTTAAATTGTTAATTGACTTCTCATAATCAAACAATAAACACAACTTCGTTGAATTAATAAATAAACCTTTTATGAAAATTAGATTTTCACTCACTGGTTTTTATAAAGCCGCCGTTACTTTTCAGATGATCGTGCCATTGATGATGTTGATTGTCTTATCATTGTCCCCATCATCTGCAAAAGAAAGTGATGGGCAGCACACTCAAGCAAGATATGTTAATGTCAAAACAGTTGCAGGGCTTTTACAAGGAGAGATTGTCGATTATCCCGTAGAATACCCTGAAGGTAATAAGAATCTTATTACAGTCACCCAATTCCTTGGAGTCCCTTATGCCAAACCTCCTATTGGTGACCTCAGGTGGAAGAATCCACAGAAGGTTGGACCATGGGAGGGAGTGAAGAATGCTACAGCTTATGGAAACAGTTGCTGGCAAAATATACTCATGCCTTTACCTACCCCAATGTCAGAGGACTGTTTATTCCTAAACATCTGGGTCCCGGGGGATACAATGATGTATAATACATCACGGGACCTTGCTATTTTGTTTTGGATCCATGGAGGGGATTTTCAGTTTGGCACCGGAAGCCTTGACATTACTAATGGGGCATATATGGCACATGACCAAAATGTCATTGTTATAACTATTAACTATAGATTAAATTCATTTGGCTTTTTATCTACTGAATCAAAACCAGATGAGGGGAACTGGGGCCTAAAGGACTGTGTCTTAGCATTACAATGGGTTCGGGATAATATCAGATCATTCAGCGGGGACCCTAATTCTGTTACCATATTTGGGGAATCTACAGGATCAGCAATAGTGACACTACTGATGCTTTCAAAGCAGGCAAATGGTTTATTCAAAAGAGCTATTGGACAAAGCGGGTCAGCGTTTAACTATTGGGCAATGAATCCACGTGGCAGAAATCGTAGACTCCAACAAAACCTGGCAAAAAACCTTGGTTGTCCAGTATATAACAACAGCTTGGATTGTTTAAGGAACAAAAGACCAATGGGCATTCTTAACTCAACATCCTCAATTCGATTTGCACCAAACGTTGATGGTACATTTTTTCATGATGAGCCTGAAAACATACTTGAGAAAGGAGATTTCGAGCCAGTCGATTTCATCAATGGAGTGAACAGACACGAAGGCTTTCCCTTCGCAAGTATTTCACCAGATGGAGATAATGGTCTTGTGATCAATTCTTCTCAATTCAATGACATTATTTCAAAATACATGAAATTTCTCGATCATCTAGAAAACAGGGATATCATACAACATGGAGTACGGCTCTTGTATGACGATTATACAGTTGATTATGATGAAAAATCACTGGACAGAACTAAGGGACTGGTAAATGCTTTGGGTGATTTTGAAATCATTGCTGGGAGTCATAAATTCTCAACATTATACCAAAAGCAATCCACCAAAACCTCATACTGTTACTTTCTGGATGCAAAAATATCCGAGTATTTTCGATACATTCCCTACAGCCATGAGCGTCCTGACTGGGTCCACACCAGTCATGCAGATGATATACAATTTGTATTTGGAGGTGTCAAATACACAGATAAAACAGTGACACGTGAGGAGAGGGAACTAAGCGGTGAAATGATGAAGACCTGGGCTAACTTTGCAAAAACAGGGTAAAAACAATCATATATATAGTATCTGACAATCATCCTCCGATCACAGGGCTTTAAAATCCAGAATACTTCTTTCTTTTTACCCCCTGCGATCGGCGCATAATTAGATCACGTGATTCAGTTTAATAGGGCGCTTCCAAATTGGTTATAGCAGGGGGGGGGGGAAGAAGGAGGTACGGATTCTGGACATCTGGATAGGAGGAGTGACAATGTGTTCAGTGTTAATTTAAGGCACATTTATTTTCAAATAAACAAGTACCTGAAGACAACAGACGCCTAGGTCCAGTAGTTTCATTATTTTAATTTCTATAATTAACAAGTTTTATTTATTTTAGGAACCCTACAGAATCAGGTTCTTTACATTGGCCAGAGTTTACTGGGTCGAACTACCTTCAACTGTCAACACCCGTCAGTAGCAGCACTGTCATTGAGAGGTTCCTACCTAAAAGAATGGACTTCTGGATTAACTTTATCTGGAAGAAAGTAGATGTTCCATCAATGAAATGTGCCAATAACAGAGATAAATTTAGTAGGTGCAATACAAATGCAACATATATTAATTAAAGTTATTTCAGCAAAATGCATGTCGCTTAATAATTTAATTTCCTTTTCATAAAATACCATTAAGGGGGAATGTAGAAGATGAATATCTCAAGTAGGACTTGCTAATTCAGACATATTATAATTACCTGTGTTGTAGATGAAGATAACTGCCCAGTGTGTTTAATCGAAGTCCCACGTGATATTACTTATATCATCTGCAAGTCTACCAATGGTAAATAAATATTCTTCTTTCTTTCCATATTCATTGATTCAAATTAGAACGCACGATGTAGGATAGGATTATTTTAACCATTTTCATTGTGGCTCCATCAAAAATCTTCTTGTTAAATAAAAATAGTATAAAATATTCTTTAAAATAAATTCAATATTGTATATATATTTATTTATTCCATTATACTCCTGTTTTCCCAGGGAAATATGAAGGAATAAAATCTTATTGAATCGTATTCCATGAAGAAAATCGTATTGTCCCCGGGAAAACTCGTATTGGAGCGTACTTTGAAATTTAACTTAAAACAATGTGCATTTATTAATATAATGGTTACATTATCCAAATGTAACATTTTAGAGGGACATGTTATGGAATAAATATATTATGTCAGGTCGGGATTGAATATGGGTTTTATTCCTAGGAAAATATGATATTGACCTCGGGCAATATGGTATTGACACTCAGTCGCTGCGCTCCCTCGGTCAATATCATATTACCATTCGGTTAATATCATTTTGTCCCTCGGAATAGAACCCATATGCAATCCCTCCCAGTAAACCTATATATATATTACTGAGCTGATGTGTTTATGTTTATGTAACCGGTGATCCTCTAACAAGAACATGTACATGTATTCGTTGATCCTCTGGCAAGTAAATGTACATAGTGATCTTCTAGCATCTAGTGATCATTCAGTAAACTTCTAGCAAGTATCTGGTGATATTTAAGAAGGAATCCAGTGATCCTCTAGTAGGAAGTGAACAGAAGGATCGTCAAATCAAAAAAACATCCGTGAACCTTTTCCAGATTTTCCTTCAGTTGGTTTCCATTATTTTTTCAAATTATATATTCAGGGTTTTCGTAAAACACCGACCGCCGACCACCGACCACCGACCAGTCACTCTCCACAGTTGGGTACATGTGGTCGGTGGTCGGCTGACGGTCTTTTACATAAAGATGAAAAAATGCAAAATTAGAAGTAAAACTAAAACTGGGAATCCAATGACTATAGTACCTTTACTAGGTCGTGATTTAAAAACGTATAATTATCATTTCAAATCACGATGAAAACGTTACATCGTCGTGGTGTGTAATGTCATATTTTTAAGTGATGTTTCAGTTGTTAGAAGACCAATTTCATCCTGGTTAGTCACTTTGGAAAAAACGCACGTAACATTGCATTACGTTCATTCTTCATTCATATGAAACGCAATAACAAAAACACACAAACATCGTCGATGTTGACGTCGTAACGTTATGTTTGATTTCTCAGTTGTTAAACGTCAACTGGTAAAAACTACATTTGATATGACAAAAAAAAGCTTTCTAATGGTGTACTGAAATGGTAAGTCACTTTTAATCCCGATAAGAGAACGCATGTAACATTATATCGTGTTCAGTATTCAGTAGGCTATGACGATAACAAATCATTTTTGTTTCGAAATTGTTAAATTTCAGTAAAAAATTAGGATAGATTCCCGTAGAAACGATAGGTTGGTTCATGATAGGTTAGGACCTAAGGCAGGGCAATTAATCAAGAGGAGACGGTCATGACCAATTTATTTGCTTGCCATTCGTTGCAAGGTACAAAATCGGTAAAAAACGTTGCCTAGTCCAACGATTGACATTCAAAATCAAATTATTAATATTCTAAGGCTACAAATATGTTCGGTCTTTTACATGATATGGTAGGTCTTTTACACATTTTCTTCAAACCCTGTTTTGAGGCTACCAGTGGAAAACACCGACCGGTCGGTGGTCGGTGGGGTCGGTCTTTTCCGAAAACCCATATATCATAACATCTCTACAAGGAAACTTATCCGGTTGGGAATCACATTTTTGAGTTACTGAGATCCAGGTAAATATCCAAGTACAAGACAGTGTCAAAGGGATATTGTAAGAAACCTAGTAGTAAGAAAAACAAACTTTAAGTGTAAACCTGTCATAAGAAAATATATCCCACATATCCTAAAACCACAATCTTACGTGAAAGAAAATAATATTTAACCTCACCATTTCCCCTCCAACCTAACGCCAATACCGGCGCCAATATCACAATCCAGGACCAGAGCCCCAATACAAGGGACAAAAATTGGTAGCCAGTACTTACATCAAAAATAGATACTAGATACTAGTACTCATAAAAGAGCATTCAGTCTAAAATGATATGGGATAGACAAAAGCCAGCCTCGAGGTCCAGAGGCAATTCAAAGGGTCAACATCCATTCGTAGAGCTGTCGTCATAATTGTGATAACCCAACAGATTTACTTTCTTGTTTGCCGCTATTCAGTAATGTCAGTTCGATGTCTCACCACTGTTGGGTTTCACTTAATGTTGTTTATATACTCACATACATGTTTAGATCGTTATTATCCACTAAAGTGTCATATTCTAGTGATTTGTGGATATTGTTAGTTCCGTTCGTACTTTTGGCGTAATTCTCGAACTATTCTTAGTTCCGTTCGTACTTTTGACGTAAAAAGGTCAAGGTTACTGTCGTAGTTTTCTGGTCTAAATTTCACCCTGTTTACTATGTTTTATCGTTAATCTAGTAGGATATGCACCTAATACGTAAATTAAGCTCTCTATAGGTAGTTTAAACTTTGCAATCGGTCCCGTATTGGCGAAGTAAAGGCCGTTTTTGTGGATTTACATAAGTTCGTAATTTATGTAGGGCGCTGCGCGTGCGCAGAAGACAGGTAGCCATCTTATGTTTTTCGAGTAAATCATTCGTGATTTGCTCCGCTATCTTCACTCAAAATGTCGCTATTGTTGACCGTCGAGGTGTCTAAACTGTCTCACGATTTACACCAGTAAGTCGTCCGTCCACATGAGGTGATTACAACAGGATTTGCACGAAGTCTGACCCCCGAATCAGGCTTGAAGTTTGAGGTTCACCCCTCCCGCATCACTTGCAAATGTCAGCACGTCTGTCAAATGGCGAACTACATATACCACCAACCACCAACCACTCATATGCTGATGCAAATACCTCATGTGGATGGACACCCTACACCTCATTTCAAGCTGTGTGCACTCTATGTATATCGAGTGTGACAAATTGGCAAGTATTACATTTGGATTTGGATTTGACTTGTTAATGCTAAAAAGCATATGGGAATTATTTGACCTAGATTTGGTTTGCATTGTTGTTGATCAATACCCAGTTTGATCATGTCAGTTCACCTCATTGCTGATGATCAATACCCAAATTGATCATGTTTTGGTACACTGCAAACTACCCTGTGCAGTTGTATGTTACGTAATGTCTCGCTTGTATATAGTTGGCTTATGGAGTTCAAGTCTTACTGTTGGGCAACAGTTAGTATCAGATAGATGATGGTGTTGAGTTAAACCCTAATGGAACCCTAGTTTATGGTCTAGCCTGATACTAGTTTTGAACTTGAACTGTTCTATTGTTTATCGATGGTTGGAGTGTCGGTTTTATTGTATCGTTGCGTTAAGGTCGTACTATAATTTAGATACTGTGTGCATGTATGGCTTTCCCCAAAGCCACCCTAGGGAGATACAATTTGTTGCACCCAATATTACCAAAGGGAATACAAGTTGTTGCACCCACCCTTATGTTGTGTCATGGAATATTATAAGTTGGTGATGTACTACTACCAACTTGGGTATACAGTTTTACTCATGTTCATGATTGATCACTTACTACATAACATGCACCCACTTGTTACATAGCATGTACCCACATGATGTGTAATTGCACCCATATGTCATGTAGTACGCGTCGGCATGTTTCATAGCAGGCACCCACTTGTTGCGTGACATGTATATCCATGTCATGTGATTGCACCCACATGTTATATGACATTAATTTTCCTAGCATGTTGCATAATGAGCAGTCATGTAAACATTGTTATCACTAATTGGTATGTTGAATTAAATGTACAAGTTATTGTTATAGTCATTATTTGGTATGTTTCACCCAAGCTTGTGAATATGTAATGTTACGTTGATATTTTTAGTCGGTCTTACATTTTGTCAGTGGTTGTAATTCGGTTCTTTGCGTCATGTCGTACACTCCAAGGTGCCAGTTGTTGTTGTTCTCATTGTCAAAGGTTGTTGCAAAGTCATGGTAATACATATTACTATGTATGTTTATTTGGTCACCAGTTGTGTCACACACTCTCCCAGATGAAAGTATTGTATGTTATATGTGTAGTTAATGTAGGATTTATGAATATGAGCTCAATAATGTGTAATTGCAGTATCAGCTTCTTGGTAATTATGTAATCTTACTTGAGTATGTATTGTACTTGATAGGAAATACTATGTATATTATCGTAACCACATTTCAGGGATCTTAGTTGCATAACGATCCACCTTTGTGCATAATCCTTGAATATGGGTACCCGTTGCCATTGAGTAACGCTGCACCATATATCATCCATGTGTCACAATATCAGAACTTTAATTCATATATATATATATTTCCACACTATGTGTGTTATTGTCATAATTACTATACTCACTTTTTAATCACATTGTAAATAAACCCATAATTATGTCATTTATATTTAAACTAAATCATCTGTTTTGTCAGTTAAGTGTATGTTTTATGTCGCAGTGCGACATATTCAGCCATTTTGCCATTCAACCAGTCATGTCTGTAAAACCCTCGAGAGCATAAACAATCATAACACGGACCCGGTAATAATGTGACGATTCTTCCACTCACTCATCAACCCTTTAACGCTACCAATACCTTTTGCACTTACCATGCAGAGTGAGGGTCGTTACATAATCTTTAAAACACAATCATTCACAATAGGCTAAAATCAGGGGGTAGAAACGCGTCCAGTATTTTCGTCTGGTACAAACCGAGATATTGGACGCAGACCTCCATTTTTGATCCAGAGAGAGGTAGGTGTGATTTTATTCGGTAGCCTGTGATCGTTGTACATTGTTTCCTTATCTAGAAATAGCTAGGCTCATCAGATTCCCAGTACATTGAGGAACACACAATTCTTAGATTTCTTTTTATTTACCATTTCATTGACAAGATATGCAATTTTCTTGTGTATGGAATAAGGATACAGCTTCCAGTCGGCAAATTTTAGCTTTGAAAAGATCGAAAATTGAAAAATGACGAAATTTAAAGAAATACCGGACGAGATGAAAATGTACACAGGGAGATATGCTGAGTACTAAAATAGTACTCATGGCATGTTAGCGCTAATTGAGTACTCATTTCATCAAATATTAGTACTAAATGAGCACTTGTGACATGAGTACTAATTTATTGCATGTTTTAGTACTTAATGAGTACTCATATGATGAGTGATAAAATAGCGCTAATTTCATTGATTTTTCATTACTCAATGAGCACTCATACTATGAGCACTAATTAATTGCATGTTTTAGTACTAAATGAGTACTCGTATTATGAGTGATAAAATAGCGCTAATTTCATTGATTTTTCATCACTCAATGGGCGCTCATATTATGAGTACTAATTTATTGCACATGTTTCACGAGTGATAGATTAGTACTCACAAATTAAAATGTTGATAAATTGTTTTTAATTGATGAAGTAAAATATACAATACGTAATGAATTACATATTAATTATACGAAAACATGGATAAATATATCATTAAACTTTTCCAAAATTCCCATTCCTGTAGCTATTTCATGTAACATGTTGAAGCTAGGAAACAAAATGACAGACACCATATTGCTCTATTCTTGAGAAAAGTGCATATATATATACACTGCTTTGTTACCTAGATTAAGTGAAAGATGAGTTAAGTAGTATGAAATGAGAAATTACTAAAATCACATGGTAAGTGTGTTATACGTGTGTAACATCTATAAGCTGATATGGGAGTAAGTCTATAAAACAAAATTGAAGGTTGCATGTGAATTGTATCCCATCTAGAATGATACCTACCGACTGCTTATTATTTAGTAAATGAACAATATTTTAGTGCTAAATGAACAATTTTTTAGTACTAAAAGAGCGCTCAAGTAGTAATAAATTAGCACTCTGGCAAAAGTGCACTCATGAGTACTCATGCCACGAGTGCTAATTAAGTACTCATTTTGTACTAATTTAGTACTCAGCATTTCTCCCTGTGTACTGGACGCAAGCCATTCGGTTTTAACAGCCTTGCGTCCAGTACATTTTTCATTTCGTCCAGTATTTCTAATATTTCGTCATTTTTCTTTTATCGATCACTTTTAAGCTAAAATTTGCATATCTTGTCAATGAAATGGTAAATAAAAATAAATATAACTCGATTCGTGTTTTTCCTGAAAAAAGATCAAAATATATCTGTGCTTAACCCCACATTACAGAAATAATAAATGGATAGCTGTCATTTTATTTTATAAGAATTGGATGTTCCCCAATGTACTGATGAGCTTATTTTTAGGTAAGGACACACTGTAAAACGATCACAGGCTACCGAGTAAATTACACCTACCTCTCTCTGGATCAAAAACGGAGGTCTGCGTCCAGTACATGTATTTCCATTTGTCCTGGACGAAAATACTGGACGGTTTTTTATCCCCTGAAAATATACTAAGGCAACTGGCCATGTAAATTAGAACAATATAAGAAAAAATAATGTTACACTTTTTATTTCCCCAGCATTTAAAGCATCAATACTCACAGAAAAGATAATGAAGATTGAGTCGAATCTCAGACCAGTGACAGGTGTAGTGAAGTTGGACAGATATGTAACATACAACCTGGATTCAGACTGCACTTGCGATATTGTTACAAAAGCAGGTAAACGAAAGCCTATATTATATTTTTCGTTATAAAAAATCAACTTGTGATTTGATACTTGTATGATTTACAGTGGTCCTTGAGGTTCATTAGAAAATATTCCTTCAAACAAAAGGATGGCTCTTTATATCAATTATTCAAAAATAAAAACGTGTGAAAAAATGTTTTCTGCGTCTCCATGGCAACTGTCACTTTGCATGCATAAATAATAGACCCTTTTTCTAGAGGTATTTTATAAACCTAGTGTGTATATGTCATATGTGGTAGAATGCCTAAAAGTCATTTCAGTTTAATTTTACTTGTAGTTCATGTCCTTCCAATTCATGACACCATTCCCGTTATTTCTCATTTTGTTTCAGCTCGAGGTGACAAACTTCTGATCCTCACCATGGCAACCAATGACAGTTTATCAAGCCTGTATTTCGATGACCAGGTCACTGTTATCAAATTAGATAACAAACTACAGAGGAAAATATTGAGAGCTATCAAGGAAAACAAATGTCCTAAATGAAATGATACATCTAGTTTTCTTCAAACTCTCATTGGTGTAATATGGAACATCGTTTAACTTTGACTGCAATTTTTTCTAAAATCTAAAGTGACACAAGTGAAATATGGCAGTTCACAGTTTTCAAATTAGATAACAAACTACAAAGGAAAATATTGAAGGCTATCAATAACCAGAACAACGGCAACGCCAAAGCGTAGCGAATCCCATCGAACAGAAATAGCTGGCATTTTTACAAACGAAATATATAGCAAATATCATAAAATAACACACATAAGAAAGTTGTCATCAGAAGAAGTAATATGCTTTTTTATAGTATTCGAATACCAAATATGAACAAAATCGCTCCACTACTTTTCGAGTTACAGCAAAAATCGTAAAATAACGAGTAAAGGCCAAGTAAAATACGTTTAAATGGCGGCCATTTTTCAAATTCCATTTTTTGTCATCAGAAGAAGTAATATGCTTTTTTTTTTATAGTATTCACATGGCAAATATGAACAAAATTGCTCCACTACTTTTCGAGTTACAGTAAAATACTTTAAAATGGTGGCCATTTTTCAAAATGGCCGCCTTCTACCAAAAGTGTCATTAGACAGTGTGCCATGCTTATATTATTCACATACCAAATATGAACAAAATCGCTCCACTACTTTTCGAGTTATAGTAAAATACGTTAGAATGGCGGCCATTTTTCAAAATGGCCGCCTTCTACCAAAAATGTCATTAGAGAGTGTACCATGCTTATAGTATTCACAAACCAAATATGAACAAAATCGCTCCACTACTTTTTGAGTTAAAGTAAAATATGTTAAAATTTTTCAAAATGGCGGCAAATTTTCAAAATGGCCTCCTCCTACCAAAAGTGTCATTAGACAGTGAGCCATGCTTATAGTATTCACATACCAAATATGAACAAAATCGCTCCAATACTTCTTCAGTTACAGCAAAAATCGTAAAATAACGAGTAAAGGCCGCCATTTTTCAAGATGGCTGCCATGTGCTATTTCAATTTCTACATTTCTAGCTTTATCAATGTCCTATATAATTTTTTTACATTTTAAACATAATGCTATCACAGTTTCACATATTGCACCTAAATTACTGTAAAATCGGCACTAAAATGGCCGCCATTTTTAAATGAGCGGCCATTTTGAAAATCGGCTTTTTAGCAGAACTTCTACCCCCATAGGGTATATGTGTACAAAATATGAACAAAATTGGGCCAACGGTATTTGAGTTATTGCCCGGACGGACGGACGGACAGACGGACGGACGGACGTACGTACGTACGGACGGACGGACGGACGGACGGAGGCGTTCCCTATATCCCTCCGAACTTCGTTCGATGGGATAATAACAAATGTCCTAAATGAAATAACATATCTTTCCGTTGAACTCTCTATTGTTTTCTTTTGAGTAACAGTGATCTCCTGAATAACTCAAAATTCCTGACAATAGAAGATTTAAGTAATTTTTCTATTTTAAATGTTGTACACATGTACTGTAACACGAAACATCGTTTAACTTTAATTGTCATTTTCACTAAAATCTATAAGTGACAAAGTGAAATATGGCCAGTCTAAAAAGAACATGTTGACCAAGATAACGTTTTCACATTAGTATTGATTTAACATTTCATCAACTTAAATGGTTGAACCTTCAAGATGTCAATTTGGTTTTCACGTTTTCTAAAATCACAACTGACAGGTGCAATGATCTGTCAACTTGAACTACTTAATGGACGTTGGATGGATTAAACAAAAAATTGTCAAAATAGATCGTTCCTCCCAAGTGATTTCATGTGATCTGTGTACTGGTCTACAAAAGGTTGAACTTGAATTAAAACCCCTGAATGGACGTTGGATGGATTAAACAAAAAATTGTCAAAATAGATCGTTCCTCCCAAGTGATTTCATGTGATCTGTGTACTGGTCTACAAAAGGTTGACCTTGAATTAAAACCCCTGAATGGACGTTGGATGGATTAAACAAAAAATTGTCAAAATAGATCGTTCCTCCCAAGTGATTTCATGTGATCTGTGTACTGGTCTACAAAATGTGGAACTTGAACTCAAACCCCTGAATGGACGTTGGATGGATTGAACAAAAAATTGTCAAAATAGATCGTTCCTCCCAAGTGATTTCATGTGATCTGTCAACTGGTCTACAAAATGTGGAACTTGAACTCAAACCCCTGAATGGACGTTGGATGGATTAAACAAAAAATTGTCAAAATAGATCGTTCCTCCCAAGTGATTTCATGTGATCTGTCAACTGTTCTACAAAATGTGGAACTTGAACTCAAACCCCTGAATGGACGTTGGATGGATTAAACAAAAAATTGTCAAAATAGATCGTTCCTCCCAAGTGATTTCATGTGATCTGTCAACTGTTCTACAAAATGTGGAACTTGAACTCAAACCCCTGAATGGACGTTGGATGGATTAAACAAAAAATTGTCAAAATAGATCGTTCCTCCCAAGTGATTTCATGTGATCTGTCAACTGTTATACAAAATGTGGAACTTGAACTCAAACCCCTGAATGGACGTTGGATGGATTAAACAAAAAATTGTCAAAATAGATCGTTCCTCCTAAGTGATTTCATGTGATCTGTCAACTGTTCTACAAAATGTGGAACTTGAACTCAAACCCCTGAATGGACGTTGGATGGATTAAACAAAAATTGTCAAAATAGATTGTTCCTCAAGTCACAAGTAATTTCAAACGATCTGTCTACAAAGGTTGAAACTCAAGCCACTGAAAGGAAGTTTGGAAGAACTGTATAACAATATGTCAAAAAGAGGTCATTCGTCACATCATTTACAAGTAAATTCAAGAGATTGTCTACAAAGGTTGAAACTCAACATAAGAAAAGATATTTCACTTTTTTGTGATTTTGCAACATGGGGTCTATGGGGAATCTCCCCAACCTAGAAGTCACATCTTCAAAAAAAATTAAATTTTTCAAAGTTGATGAACTCTTTTCAAAACCACATTTCTAGATGTAAATTACATGTAGATTTCAAATATGACCTCAGTTTGACTGAATTTTGAATCTTTAATGACGTAAATCAAGATTATTTCTTCTCGCATCTAATCTATTTCAAAAGGGTGAACTCACTAAATGGAAGTTACACAATGCAGAATTAACTAAACAAGTACTTACAAATATCAACTTACATATTTTATTAATAATTTATGAAATAAAGAAAACAAAGTACAAAATTGTTAATCAAAAACAAAAGTAGAAGACATCAAAATTGGAAGAAATCTTGCTATACTAAAACTATAAAAGAAACTAAAAACAGTTTTACATCAGAGATTGATCGTGTGACCTATACATGGTGTCCCAAAATTAAAATAATGCCAACCGTAATTTCAAATCATATATCAGTTTAACATTTATTTAATTGTTAAATATTAAGTGTTGTCCTATTTTGATATCCCATTAGGATTCTGCAATGAAGCATGCAAGACTTCACATTGTTTTAATAATGATCAATAAACATCAACATCTTGATACGAGAATTTTGTTTTGAATGCACCAGAGTCCCAGACCAATGGTTACTATAGCAACCTTATATGTGTCATACAAGCATACACTGTTCATCTATATCTGATTTATTTCCTTTGAGGTTAAAGGCCCAATGGGTGTAATTCTCATCCTAAATAATCATCCTAAAATTACTTAGCTGAGAGTGAATTCACTGCATTTCAAAATTGAAAAAAGTGCAAGAAGCTTATTCAAAATTTAGAAAATCACTATTTCAATACCAATACCAATACCATACTATTTCAATTTGAACAAAATCACACATTAGTACAAGAGTCATCATCTGAACAGATACATTCTCTGAAACCACTAACTGAAGTTGATATAATAAAGATTATTAATAATAACAGGACTAGATCTATAACATACATACTTTGTAGTTACTATGGTTATCATTGTGTTTTAAAATTAAAATAAAAGAGAAAATACAGTAATAAATAATCAGGAAGCACGATCAGACAATGCGGCAAAATATTTTATACCGAGTTTTAAATGCAGTGATCTCCCCAGGATTTTTTCTCAGGTGGGTGCAAAATTCTCATTTTCACAATTCAGATAAAAGTTGATTTTTTCCATTTTTTCATTATACTTTTCATTTTCAATTGGCACACAGTAAGAATTTAAAACTGCTCCATATAAAGATGGCACTAATAAGTTATTAAATGGCTGCAATTTTGAAAAAAATATAGTCATATTTTTAAAATCAAATTTTCTATATCCATAAAGTATATAATAATCACTATGAACAAAATCAGACATTGTTATAAGAGTTATCATACCGACAAATACATTCTCTAAATCCCCTATATTGAATTCAGAAAGATTTGACAAAACAGGTTTTAATGTATATTACACTACTCCTATATATGAGAACACATATAAGTATAACTAACTTATAGCTACATATAAATACTAATAATAGTATAATACTATGAATATATAATATATGTATATACTGTATTCATCTTTAATTTGGCGCTACTTAATTTGGTAATTTTGGGATATCACACATATTGGCATTTTTAAATTTGGCGGCTTTTCTAGGGAATAAATCTCATATCTATCATACACACTCCCGCCTAATCCAGTTTCACTGTTTTTGAAAACAATTTAAAATGCTCTTAATTAAACAATTCAAATGCCTCTTATATCTGGAAGTTCACCGAAAGAAAAACAAGTTGAATTGATTGCAACATTTGATTCCCCAAATTAAAACGCTTACCAAATAAAGACAAATACAGTATATACAGTAAAAAGAGGATCAGTTCAACTCCAAACCTTTGGTAACACGAATAAATACATTGTATAAAATATCATAATAAAAATGGAGGGAATACTTGTATTGCCAATTTATGTATTACAGTACATATTTAGAAACAACATACACGAACAGGGTGTGAAAAAGCCCCCCCCCTCCACAGCATAAACTAGGAGAGGTACACACACATACTATATCCCATTGGAAAACTTTGAAGAGGTACTACACCTCCAAAATGCAATCTGATTTTCGACACCGTTTCGCCACCAAATGGACTGACTAGTCTGGTGGCAAATTTTGGTGTCAAAAGGTATAGGTGCCGGAATGGTGTCGAAACGGTGCCGGAACAGCGCCGAATTTTTTCGATGCCAAAATGGTGCCAAATTATATTGGCTGTGTAAAGGTGTTCCATTTAGACAGGTTTTACTGTTCAGTTGTTTCACCCTCCATAAGTTTTGCAACCAGGATTTTTATTGGATAGTTTTTGCATAATAATAATTTGTATGTCCTTTTATGGCTTTTGTCCTTATATGGTCTGTATATCCAACATGTATGCATTAATATTGCGATATTGGCTCATTGTACACGTTCAACATAATAGTGCGACAACTTCATTGTATTGGCACGGTATTTACTTTGGTATAATGTTGAATACTTGGTGTAAAATGGTAAAATGGTACATTTCCTCAAAAAGTTTATATTACTAAATCCAAAATTCTCTTTGTAGATGAGTTACTCATTATATGCACGATAATGCATTATATGCACAGTGATCCATTATATGCACAATAATTCATAATATGCACAATAATCCATTATATGCACATGAATCCATTAGATCCATATGAATCCATAATTTGCATCTGAATCCATTATATGTACATGAATCTGCTATATGCACAGTGATCCATTATATGCACATTGATCAATTATATGCACAATAATTCATAATATGCATGATAATCCATTATGTGCACAGTGTTTCATTATATGCGCAATAATTCATAATATGCACGATAATTCATTATGTGCACAGTGTTCCATTATATGCACAATAATCCATTATATGCATATGAATCCATAATTTGCATATGAATCCATAATTTGCATGTGAATCCATTATATGCAAAGTGATCAATTATATGCACAATAATTCATAATATGCATGATAATCCATTATGTGCACAGTGTTCCAGTATATGCACAATAATTCATAATATGCACGATAATCCATTATGTGCACAGTGTTCCATTATATGCACAATAATCCATAATTTGCATGTGAATCCATTATATGCACATGAATCTATTATATGCACATCTATGGTTTTTAAAATCCAACAAATGGTTTCAGATCCTCTGCGGAAACAGCTGCTGATTTTTGCCAGTCATTTTCAGGATATTCGTCAAAATTATGCGCATCCCCATCATGAAGAATATTCGGGATTATTGGGGCCTAAAATGACAAAAATGGAAATAATTTTAAAAGTGATATATTTCAATACATGATATTTGTCCAATATACTGTAGCTTTTATTGATTTCGTGCTTTTAGTTACAGATCTGCCATATTGGGCACCAAATTAAGAAAAAATACAGTGCATTGTATCATATGCTATAACAGTACAAGTAACGTCCACAGCAAAAAGGGCCACTTTTGTATCAGTACAAATACTCAATCTGAGCCACTTTTTGTATTTGAACATTATTCCACTCTTGAAAAAACACACAGATCATTATCATTGCCAAAAAAGGATCAATCTCAAAAGAAACTCCCAATTTTTGGAGATGATGCTCAATCTTGAAAGCGTAACACATACCATTTAGCAAATCGAATGCTAAGACTAATTTCAAAAATTAAATTTTCATTAACATTATGAAATTGATCCTTTAAATAGTGTCAGTCAAGAAATAAGAGCTTTAAATATGTAAATGGAAAATTAAGCTAGAAGAAACTAGATTGATGATGATGAAAATGGGAACAAAATTCAAAAAATTGAGATAATATTTGATGGAGTTTTTGATGTTGCATCCCTCCATCCAATGCTTAGACTAATTTCAAAAATTAAATTTTCATTAACCTTATGAAATTGATCCTTTAAATAGTGTCAGTCAAGAAATAAGAGCTTTAAATATGTAAATGGAAAATTAAGCTAGAAGAAACTAGATTGATGATGATGTAAATGGGAAATGATATTGAGCATGCAAGATTTTATTAAAATCCTAATAACCTACTATGTAGATTAAAGGACACATTTTATAAATTCAAAAAATTGAGATAATATTTGATGGAGTTTTTGATGTTGCATCCCTCAATCCAAAGATCGATATTCAAAATTTTAACTTTACTATAAAGTTCTATTTTTCAAGATTTAAGATTTTTCATATAGGAAAATTGATCAATAACTATTTTAACTGCACTACTTCTGCAAAATTTACATACTTAACTGGTGACATTATTTTTTACTTTGCTTTTTATGATTAAAATCTTCAGACAAAGGATGCAATCAGAATATAAAGTATGCATGTTTTTAGTAAGAAAACGTAGAATAAGAAAATCATAGTCTGTCTAAGTTCATGCAAATAACAGAATAATCAATTACATTGAATTACAACCATTTGAATAAGTGTAAGTCATACATTAACAAAAGCAAGCCATTTAAACAACTATTTCAAGACTGAATGCATCTGCGGTACTATCCTGCTCTCATCGAAAAATGTGTTGAACACTAAGCTTTTGACGTAAAGGATGCAGCACAAACTCCTTCAGGCCCTTAGCCAGGTTTTGCCAAGGGGGGGGGGGGCACTTCTCAAAAGATTCTAGGGGGTTGTTTCACTTTGACAAATTTGGCCCAAAATAACGCTCAGAATGGTGAAAAACTGCATGATTTTGAAAGAATTTCGGCAAGTGGGGGGGGGGGGGACTATGTGCCTGTCCCACTGCCAACATCTAGTTATACATGTATGCCCTAAGTTACGTGGACCTCCAAGTTTCTTAATAAAATATGACATCCTCGGGCATATATCCAAAAACATTTTTATTACAATGCCAAAAATGCTTTTTAAAGGATTTCAGTTACAGCTTGTAAATCACAAATGTAATATATACTTTTTCAAAAAAAGGTTTCAAACTGGATGCAAAATAACTGCTAAATGTTTTTTTTTTGTCGAAATTTTCATATCATCAACAGCAGTAACACAACTGCAACACAGCAGTAACACAGCTGCAACACAGCAGTAACACAGCAGTGCAGCACAAATACACCAGCAACTAAAATATGAAAAAGCCTTTTTCAAATTACTTAAACCATATTTTCTTATCTCGTGCAAAAAGTCAAGTCAGCCTTTTTTAAATTCTTGATTGTGAGGACTTTCTTCTTCATGTTTTGCCTAGCGAGATACGCGAATTGTGGTTATTTGACCAGGTCATATTAATTTAATGATAGCAGAGGTACAATAAAATTAAACAACTCATTATCTGATTGGTACCCTAGTTTTCTAATTGATTTTTTTCAGTTTTGTACAGGGTAGTCAAAAAAAAGTGAACCCTGCAACGGGCCATATTCCCCTTATTACCTTCAGGAATCCTTTCATATTTTCACATTGTGTAAAGGAAGGTCTAAAATTTTTGTTGGTACCATACATTTTTCTTAGTATTGAAATTTGCAGAAATTATAAGCCCTAACCAAATATTGCTGAAAATGGATAAAATGTGATTTTCAACATCCGTGATTCATCAACCCATCAACACCCTTCCCCTGACAATTTTTTTAGCTGCAGTCTTAAAGAGCTATTATTTTCTGACTTTGTTTGGTTTTGAATCACTCATATTATGGCGTAAAACTAGCATCCTACCTCTGTTAGTTGCAAAGATATTGTGATCCAAAGAAATGTTCTAAGTTTCCATAGACGAAAATTTTTCCCAGCGAAACCGCAACATACCCCTATATGATCTTGAAATGTCAATATCTTCATTAATCATGGACCAATTCTAGTGAATTATGGCTCAAAACATTGAATATTAGATTTTCTTTTGATTTTCTAAAGATATTTGATGAAGGGCTTCTCAGACTCCTGGTCACAGGGGCAGCTTTGTCCCCCTCTATCCATTTGTGTAGCTAACATGCCCCTTAACTGTTGAACAATTTAAACTGCTTCAAAATGATCAATAAACGTGTGAAATGTGTTTTCTGCTCAAATAGTATCCCATTTGTCATATAGTAGGGTTTTAAACTTGTATCTCTAACTGAAAGCTGTTTTAAGAATACCTAACATGTTTCAACAATTTCCATGAATTACGTTGGTAAAATTTTGCACAATCTAATTTTCAGGCATGTTCATTTAAGTCTTGTTTTTTCTTGAAAATTTAAGACTGAGAATAAATTATGGCATCAACAAAAACTTTAGACCTTTCTCTACAACATGTGATAATATGAGGCGATTCATGCAAGTATTAAGGAAAATATAGCGTGTTGCAGGGGTTCACTTTTTTTTGGACCACCCTGTAGTATATTAAGGATAGACCATCTTTTGGCATAAAAATGGCTGACAGGACTCATGACAAGAAAAATAATGATTTATTTAAACAAATAACTTAAAAACACCCTCAGTCATAGAAGGAGTAGATATAAGAAATACTCATGATTTACAATGAGAAATTATACTGAAAAAGTCATTTTCAAAAATGCAGTTGTCACAACTCGTTATATTACTTTTCAGTGTAAGGTATTGTCTCAAAAGCTTAGCACTTAATTCAAAGTGTGTAACGGATTTATAAGACCGTTGACTTTGTTGATTGAACATATTGAAAAGTGGGATTTTTTAACCAAAATTTAAAAAAATCTTAGAAATTTTTATTTACACTTTACAAAAATGCAAAATTAAAAATACCGTATGTCAATTTCACTGTTCCACAGCTGGATGACTCTAACTGCAGTTAGCTTCATTCAAGATGGTTGCTGAAATTCTTTCGTTTTTGATAAACCTATGTTTGTAGCTTATCTAAGTTGAATCTGGATTCCGAATGTTTCTCCATGCATGCAAATTAATAAAGCTACGATGGTAAATAACCACAAATAAATGATGATGTAGAACATCAACTTCAGTTAGTCATTCTAAATGAAGCAATTTTCTTTAAAATTCTCTATTATTGTGGGGGTGTTTGGGCATTCATTTGTGGTTGAATACTTTCGTAGTTTCATCAATTTGCATAGTGAAACATTTGGAATCCAGATTCAACATAGTTTAGCTGAAATCGGAGAATTTCGGCAACCATCTTGAATGAAGCTAACTGCAGTTAGAGTCATCCAGCTGTGGAACAGTGAATATGTCTAATATGCAAAAAAGGTCAAAGTAGCACCAAATAATGACTTACAGCAGTAACACAGCTGCAACACAGCAGTAACACAGTATAAAAACTGTATACAAAACATTATTGTGTAGAATTCAGTGCTTAAAAATGAGGCAACACCTAACTTCTCATTCAAATATCATCCCATACTATATCTACTCCTTAATCATTGGGTAAATTATTTTAACAAGTCCATGCTCCTTACAAGATCTTCAAAATGTTCAGCATATTTGCTCATAACATAGTCCTGAGGGGCATAGTTTCCGCAGTCCCCTTCATGTAAGATGTTTGGCTTAATAGCGGGCTAAAATAATAAATCATTTTTGTAAGAAATAGTGAAAGGATAGGATATGTTAAATTACCATGCAGCTTTCATGTTATAAAGTTCATTTTCAAATTGATCTACTTTTTATGAGTTTTCTCCATGTTCAATATTTTTGTAATTTCTTCAGAGTGTATTTTCATTGTGCTGTAGAGTTTCTTCTTAATGGACCATATATGTACCAAATTTGAAGAGAGAAATCTTATATCCCCAATATAGAGTGTACTGAAAGTCCTAGAGTGTATTCTCAATGTACTGTATAGTACATTTTCAATGTACTTGTAATGATATGTAATGTATTCATGACAGCACATTTTCAATGTACCATCAGAGTATTTTGACAATGTACTGTAGAGTATATTTTCAATGTACTATGGAGTGTATTCTCAATGCACAATGGAGTGTATTCTCAATGTACTATGGCGTGTTTTCTCAATGTACTATGGAGTGTATTCTCAATGTACTGTTGAGTGTATTCTCAATGTACTATGGAGTGTATTCTCAATGTACTATGGAGTGTATTCTCAATGTACTGTCGAGTGTATTCTCAATGTACTATGGGGTGTATTCTAAATGTACTATGGAGTGTATTCTCAATGTACTGTCGGGTGTAGAATCTCAATGTACTATGGAGTGTATTCTCAATGTACTATGGAGTGTATTCTCAATGTACTGTCGAGTGTAGAATCTCAATGTACTGTCGAGTGTATTCTCAATGTACTGTCGAGTGTATTCTCAATGTACTATGGAGTGTATTCTCAATGTACTATGGAGTATATTCTCAATGTACTATGGAGTATATTCTCAATGTACTATGGAGTGTATTCTCAATGTACTATGGAGTGTATTCTCAATGTACTATGGAGTGTATTCTCAATGTACTATGGAGTGTATTCTCAATGTACTATGGAGTGTATTCTCAATGTACTATGGAGTGTATTCTCAATGTACTATGGCGTGTTTTCTCAATGTACTATGGGGTGTATTCTCAATGTACTGTTGAGTGTATTCTCAATGTACTATGGAGTGTATTCTCAATGTACTATGGAGTGTATTCTCAATGTACTGTCGAGTGTATTCTCAATGTACTATGGGGTGTATTCTAAATGTACTATGGAGTGTATTCTCAATGTACTGTCGGGTGTAGAATCTCAATGTACTATGGAGTGTATACTAGACTATAAAGTGTAGTTTCAATGTACCTTCAGTTTTTTGGCTTTGACATCTTCCCAGGTTATACTCTTAAAGTATTTATGTTTCTTCACATCCTCAGCACCATTCTGGAAAAAATAAAAATTACACTTTATGTGGTCCACATATGGTTAATCGTCTTTGTTGAAATTAACAATATTGAACCACTTGAAAATATCACAATGAAAGTAAATACTAGATAATTAAGACATACCTTCATATTGCCTAGTCTTTTAGTTCTATCAAGCACCAGGAGTTTCTTTATCAGATCTCTAAAAAATAAAAATGAAGAATTGTTGAGTTGACTCTACTTTTCTTTGCGACCTGCACCACAAATGCCTTGTCACGTTTAATCAATTAGGCCATATCTGCATTTTCAGATTTTAAACATTTTAACAAAATTGATTTTGAATCTTCATTTAATTTTGCAAAATATTACCATTTTATAAAACATTACAAGTAATTTTCCTGATTACAACTGCCATATTGTATATAGATAAATACACTCTAATTTGCCTTATAGTTACCCCCTGTATATGGCTAAAATCTTACTTGGCTACTGGATCCATGTGTCTTGGCCAGTCTATCTTCCCTGCAAGAATCTTCTCATAAATACCAAATGGATTATCATCAAAGAATGGAGGATATCTGGAACAAACACAATTTTAAAGAATAAGCTACAGTACAGTAAAACCTGTGTGTACCAAAGGGATTATCATCAAAGAATGGAGGATATCTGGAACATACACAATTTTAGAGAATAAGCTACAGTACAGTAAAATCTGTGTGTACCCAAGGGATTATCATCAAAGAATGGAGGATATCTGGAACATACACAATTTTAGAGAATAAGCTACAGTACAGTAAAACCTGTGTGTACCCAAGGGATTATCATCAAAGAATGGAGGATATCTGGAACATACACAATTTTAGAGAATAAGCTACAGTACAGTAAAACCTGTGTGTACCCAAGGGATTATCATCAAAGAATGGAGGATATCTGGAACATACACAATTTTAGAGAATAAGCTACAGTACAGTAAAACCTGTGTGTACCCAAGGGATTATCATCAAAGAATGGAGGATATCTGGAACATACACAATTTTAGAGAATAAGCTACAGTACAGTAAAACCTGTGTGTACCAAAGGGATTATCGTCAAAGAATGGAAGATATCTGGAACATACACAATTTTAGAGAATAAGCTACAGTACAGTAAAGTGTGTGTACCAAAGGGATTATCGTCAAAGAATGGAAGATATCTGGAACATACACAATTTTAGAGAATAAGCTACAGTACAGTAAAACCTGTGTGTACCAAAGGGATTATCATCAAAGAATGGAGGATATCTGGAACATACACAATTTTAGAGAATAAGCTACAGTACAGTAAACTCTGTGTACCAAAGGGATTATCATTAAAGAAAGGAGGATATCTGGAACAAACACAATTTAGAGAATAAGCAACAGTACAGTAAAACCTTTTGTTGTGTTATCACAATCGAAACGCAGGATTATACGGGAGCATAGTGTATTTTACTTTAAACAATAGGTGTCTCCACTCAGGGAGTATGAATGATATAGTTTTTAAGAAGCACATGGAAAACTTAAAAAACTGAAAACCTACATTTATATGTCTGTTGATTGTAACAGAGGATTACAAACATAAAATTCTGTGTGACTCTATTCCATTGAAACTTTTCCATTGAAAGAGGTGTTCCTTGAAAATTTCTTGAAAATGTCCCGTTTCTTTTTGTGTAAGTTCAAAACAAATTTGCCACTGACCCATTTTTTTCACTGAAGACTACAAAATAAGTTACCCAATCAGCATCTCGTAGAGTAGTATTCCTAGCGACCACCAATCAACTGCTTTATTATGGCCCTTACTCTGGATAATTTCTGGTGCCAGGTACTCGGGCGTCCCACATAAAGTCCACGTCCTGAAAATTATCACGAAAATGTAAACTACATTTTGAAGGGAATTAATCAACCTCAAAGTGTTAAGTTTTTTTAGTTTAAAATTTAGGCCCAAAATTTCTGAAAAACTTAACCTGATGGAACACCCCACCATACCAACATTGAATACCAAAACCCATTTTCAGGTGGGTGCAAGCCTAAATTTCAAAATCTCAGATGGGTGCTGCGCCCACTTGCTTCAATGCTGGGGAGATCCCTGTAACCCTTCACAACATAATCATACTAATTGAACAATACCTCATTTAAGTTGCGATGAATGTTATGTAAAAATTAAATAGACATGCCACTTTTCAATAACAAATGTAGATATGATTTCAGACACTATTTATACTCCTCTGCTTATTTCCATGGCTGATCCCTAAAAATCAAAATCATATCTTTACCTGTCCTTTAACACCTTCGCAAATCCAAAATCAGTTATTTTTAAATGTCCTTCTCGATCTAGTAGGAGATTCTCTGGTTTAAGGTCTCTATATATAATCGATTTACTATGTAAGTATTCTAACGCACAAACTATTTCACAACAATAGAATTGTGATGTCGCACTATTGAAACGTCCAGCGTTCCGTAAATATGAGAATAGCTCGCCTCCTGGGACGAACTCCAGTAGCATGTAAAGAAAGGTGTTTGTATGATACGACCAAAACCTGGAATTAAAAAAAAATATACATTGTACTTAGATATTCTTCAAGTCATCAAATTATTCAGTGACCAGGTTTTTGTTTTACTTTAAATAGAGGAAAAAATTTGAAAAAAACATAAATTCCATAATAGTCAAGAAATAGTTTGACTCACTAATAAGGAGTTTTCTGTAGGTACTGCTAAACAGATTACTTTACTATACTACAGGCCTTATCTTAAAACATTCCCATTAATATACATAAAGCTTTGTACACACTTCATGAACAAATTTTTCAGTCCATTTATTATTGATTAATACAAAAGCAGCTATAGAGTCCAATTTTGGTCGGAATTAAATAGAATAAAGGCAAAAATAGAATGAAATGAAAAATTTCTCCAGAATCTGATCCTGAACTCTTTTCTTTTATGTCTTTTGAGCCATTGCTATAAATTATATTTGTACAGTACAGTATGTAGCATTGGGGACTGTAAATTTTATTAGAGAGAGGTAGCAAATAATAATAGCATGAACAATGGTGTCTGAACATTGTATGAGAGGGGGAGGGGAAGGAGAAGGGGAGGGAGGGTGAGGAAGGGAAGAGTGGGAGGGGGAGCAAGGAAGGGAGAAGTGAAGGGAGGGCAAGGAAGCGGATGGGAGGTAGAGGTAGTACATAATAAATAAATCGTAATTGTAAACAATTGAGTCTTACATTGTATTAGAGAGGGGGAAGGGAGAAGGGGAGGTTGGACGATGGAGGGAGGAGAGGGGAGGAGAGAGAAGGAGAGAGGAGGGAGAGGTAGCAGCTAATATATAAATCATAATGGCATGAACAATGGAGTCTGAACATTGTATGAGAGAGGGGAAGGAAGAAGGGGAGGGAGGGTGAGGAAGAGAGGAGTGGGAGGGGGAGCAAGAAAGGGAGAGGTGGAGGGAGGGCAAGGGAGCGGACGAGAGAGAGGTAGTAGCTAATGAATAAATCATAATTGTAAACAATTGAGTCTTACATTGTATGAGAGAGGGGTAAGGGAGAAGGGGAGGTTGGACGATGAAGGGAGGAGAGGGGAGGAGAGAGGAGGGAGAGGTAGCAGCTAATAAATAAAAAATTATATATCTATATAAACTTACAGTGTAACTATGAAGGGATGTTGAAGTTGAGCAAGTACATTTTTCTCACTAAGGACGTGTTCCACTTGTTTTAATCGAATAACCTCTGATATTGTCATCACTTTAAGAGCGTAATAATCTTTTGTCTTTTTATGTCTGGCCTGCACAACTCTGCCAAAAGTACCCGTTCCTGAAAATAAACAAATCATCGCAATAAATAACAATTTTTATGTAAATAAATATATTGAATCAATAGCCATCCAAAGAATGCAGGATACATGAGAAATAGAACGAAAATTGAAGTCAATAATTTTATAAATTCAATATTCATTTGGATCTTTTCTAGACTAAGTAAAGAACAAACCGATATATGAGATAAATCAAACAATAGACATGTTTTGAGCCCCATCCCCATGTCTCCATCCTCAATGATTCGAGCTAAGAAAATTAGACAATACTACCGGTGCCATCTTTTTGAGAGGTTTGCAAATGGTTTGATTTTGCTGACTCTGACATATGTACCAGTGTATTTATTCCAGGTTGTGCCTCTCTTTGGAGAACACTTTTAAGAGTCCCAGGACAAACTGACTTAATATCAAATGAACCCCTATAAGTGGAACACCTCTAAGGGAAACACCTCTTAGTGGAACACTTTTAAGAGTCCTAAGACCAACTGACTTAATATTAAATGAACCTCTATATGTGGAACGCCTCTATAGGGGAAACACCTCTTTTAGTGGAACTCTTTAAAGAGTCCAAATACCAACCGACTTAATGTTAAATGAACCTTTATATGTGGAACGCCTCTAAACACCTCTTTAAGTGGGACACTTTTAAGAGTCCAAAGATCAACTGACTGATAAATGAACCTCTATAAGTGGAACACCTCTGATAGTGAACACTTTTAAGAGTCCAAAGACCAACTGACCGAATGTTAAATGAACCTCTATAAGTGGAACACCTCTAGGGGAAACACACTTTTAAGAGTCCAAAGACCAACTGACTTAATGTTAAATAAACCTCTATTAGTGGAACACCTCTAAGGGAAACACCTCTTAGTGGAACACTTTTAAGAGTCCAAAGACCAACTGACTTAATATTAAATTAACCCCTATAAGTGGAACACCTCTAAGGGAAACACCTCTAAGTGGAACACTTTTAAGAGTCCTAAGACCAACTGACTTAATATTAAATGAACCTCTATATGTGGAACGCCTCTATAGGGGAAACACCTCTTTTAGTGGAACACTTTTAAGAGTCCAAATACCAACCGACTTAATGTTAAATGAACCTTTATATGTGAAACACCTCTAAACACCTCTTTTAGTGGAACACTTTTAAGAGTCCAAAGATCAACTGACTGATAAATGAACCTCTATAAGTGGAACACCTCTGATAGTGAACACTTTTAAGAGTCCCAAGACCACCTGACTTAATTTTAAATGAACCTCTATAAGTGGAACACCTCTGATAGTGAACACTTTTAAGAGTCCAAAGACCAACTGACTTAATGTTAAATGAACCTCCCCTGGGGCCCTTTCTCCAAAAAAGTACTTGATATAGTTTTCTACCAGTATTTGTATATGTTTAGGATTTCTTTATTTTTCAAGTATAACATTTTAGAATTTTGTGAACATGTAGCTTCACAGGGGCGGATCCAGGAACCAACAAGGAGGGGGGCCCAAATTTCAGATCCGAGAAAAAAAAAATTTGGTTTGAAATTTTGAGGCCCATTTTCTTCAAAATTTGGCCTGAAATTAAAAAATAAGGCCTTAAAAGACCCAGTAATGACCAAAAAGGCCCACTTTTTGGGGCCTGAAGGCCTTGTTTGGCCCAAAAAATTTTTTGGGCCCAATTTATTTTTTCTGGGCCCACCCAAGGGGGTATTTCCCGATCTAGCTCTGAGCAATACAGTAGAAGCCATCTTTTTGAGATACCAGAAATTCATATTTTTAATAAGGGTAAAAAGCATTCCCCTCAGCAATCCAACATGGAAATATATATCATCAGTACACCAACTGACCATATTTCCATAGATACTCCTACTTATATACAAGTGAGCTGCTACAACACATAACATACAGAGCTGCTATTTTTACCCTTCTCAACCAGTTCATGATTTTATGTCTGATCATACCTATTTCCCTCAATTTCTCTCTAAAATTTGAATGAAGTGTCCAATTTTCTTGCATTTCTATACAATTTAGACTGTTGCGTACATGCCTGTTTCGTTTATTTCTTGCATTGTCCATGCTTTTCACATTGTTTTCCAAATCCAAAACACAACCCTGCAACTGTTTCTCAAGGGATAACTCCCAACTTGCCAATCTTGTAGAAAGTTGTTTCCAAGGTGATGATAATCACCCTTGAATGAAACTACGATGAAGAAAAATGACATCACATATGGGTCAAGTTTGAAAAATACAAATACGATATCCAAAGAGAAAGAAAAAAATAGAATGAAGAAATCTGCAGGATACAATATAATAACTCTAAGTTGTATAGATATAACAGAAAATATGACTTTTATTCATGTTAAAATAGAGAAATGAGTCATAACATCAGAATTTATGAACAGGCGCTTTATATTGTATTTTCACTTATAATATGACTTATACAATCACAAATCATCACTCAAAAATAACCTTTTAGGATATCCTTAATTAAATATAACATTTTTTGATCGGACAATTTTTATAAATTTTCATTTTATTGTTGATTATAACAATTCAATCACTCAAATATGTATGATTATTTTTTCCAAGGAATAAAGCAGCATTATTTCATGGCTTGGGAGTTACGTTTTTTGTAAGGGTACTAAGAGATGAACAACAGGTGAGTATGTATCACTTGCCCTTACAAAATATCATACCAGGCATGATGTTTGAAAAGGAAATGCTTTAAGTAACAAAACAAAGTAAAGAAACAATTTATTATGATATTTTGAATCATAACATTAAATTGATTAGATTTCTACGACTCTGTGACAAAACTGTTTACCAATGAAATCGGTCTGTCAACACAACAAAATGAAATTAAATATTTTCATAAAAACTTTTACTTAAACTAATGGTGAAATAAAAATATATCCCAGGTAAATTCTTTGTCAAACAATACTATCAAAGTTTTATGAAGTTTCTTCGCACGTCAGTGTATTTTATTGAAAGGCCTAAACAATTCAAGTATCAAATTTAATGTTATATTTGTTATGGATACGTCACAACCTTTCACATTCTTTGGGTATCCGTTCTTAGTCAAGACTTTCAATCAATTGTGTGAAATAACAATGTCAAAAGTGCAAGGACGTCATTTTGCTGAAAACATATTTTACGAGCCACATGAAATTCTACATCAATGAAAATTGGAAATATTGAATGTATCTAATAGGTTTTATGAACAATAACGTAGGAATAGTTTGACTGAGGTTTTAGTTTTCCCTGAAGCAATACAACATACGAATCTTTGTCTTTGTTTTGCATAAAATAAAACAAGACATAAAAATTTCACCACCTGCCATTTGTTGCAGATGCCAAATTCCGAACACCATGGGTGCTATGGATTGTTAAATGGGTGCTATGGATTGTTATGAGTGCTATTGATTGTTAAATGGGTGCTATGGATTGTTAAATGGGTGCTATGGATTGTTAAATGGGTGCTATGGATTATCAAATGGGTGCTATGGATTGTTAAATGGGTGCTATGGATTGTTAAATGGGTGCTATGGATTATCAAATGGGTGCTATGGATTGTTAAATGGGTGCTATGGATTGTAAAATGGGTGCTATGGATTGTTATATGGGTGCTATGGATTATTAACTGGGTGCTATATATTGTTAAATGGGTGCTATAGATTGTTAAATTGGTCTTATAGATTGTTAAATGGGTGCTATGGATTGTTAAATGGGTGCTATGGATTGTTAAATGGGTGCTATGGCATCCATTGAACATTCTTTGAAATAAGAATTTTCATTAAATTCTGCACCAACTTGATAAAAAATCTAGGGTATGTTGGTGCATATTCTTGAAAGGGAATCTTGGCAATGAAACTTTATATTGAAACAAAGTTAATTTAACCCTCTTAATATGTAATAGTAACAATTTAAATCTATTTTAATTTCAGCACATATGATAAAACAGGCATTATTAGATCCCTTGCAAGCAATGTTTAGACAGAATTGGTTGGTGGAACTCAAATTTTACAACCAGGAATAATATATTTCTGAATGAGAATCTCCTATGCGAAGCTATCTGGCTATAAACACCCCAACATTTGATCTCGGAATCCTACTTTGACTCGGACTTCAGCAATGTCGTGATGTTTACATCTGATTTCATAGTACCATATTTTCTACAATGAGTGCACATCCAACTTTTATATCAAATCAAACACTGCAGGGGGGGGGGGGGTGTAAATATTCTATAGCTCTATAATCTTGGAGGGGAATCAAGTTGATGAAGATGTATCTTCTAACAAGGTTGAAATGAAAGGTGCAGTTCATTTGGCAAGATTTCATACAGTCAATGAGAGACATTATAGTCTTGCCTCGAGACTGTGAACTGCCCCCTCTAGACTTCAGATTCCAAGCTTCGGACCCATCCTCGATAGAACGAAGTGATTGAGCGTGGGAACCGAAAATGACACAACACATGAAGGTGATTGTATCTTATAGTGATATCTCTATATATCCATTCCCACACAATTCTCAAATATTCAAACATAGTTACTCTCCTTGGAAGGGAGTTCAGCTCATGAAATGTATTTTGTAACTGGGTAGATATTCAATAATCAATAAAAGTTATCTATTATACTCATAAGAGGAGGGAAAGCCCCAGAGCTTTAGCGATGACTGACATAATATGTCTCTTGCGTACCACCTTCGTTTGCGCAAATTCTCACCAGTTAATTTCCAACATAGCGTGTCGTCGTGATGTTTTAATCGATGTAAATATATTCCTTACATATTTCTTTATCTTGATGTGGAAAACCAAGCTATGATATTGGTTAGTACACCAGGAATCAACATAATATTATTCGAAGCGTTATTAGAAAATTTTGAATCCGCCATTTTTATTTATCGATTTGGACCAATCAGAGGTGTAGTCATCCCAACACAGGTTTACATTATAAGCGTATGTCATCTTTGAACTCTGGGGTTAATCCCCCTCTTATACTCTTTTAACATTCACAAA